GCTGGTGAGTCTGGAGTTTATGTCTGTACTACCCTGGATGTCTAGGATCCCTATACCATCTCTCCCCAGTGTGAAGATGTTAATAACAGTTCTTCAGCATTATTCTTTTGGAGTGGATATTAGCTTTGTGGGTACTAGAAGAGGGAGATTAATGCTAATGGTACAGCTGAATACTAAAACATCTAGTCAGACTAGTGATGACCAAGGTTATACTGGCAGCTCATTCGAGCACTACACATGTATAAGGGAGATTAAAAAAAAATTATCTGCCACATAATTTTAGGTCAACACAACATTACCTTAATCACTAAAATTCAGTTTGAACAGTCTTTACTAAATGAACCCCAAATTACTCTAAAGAGACCATTCAGGGCAAGTGACTTTGCAAAGAGGAACCCCTGACACTCTGGGGCTGACCCTGCTAGAGCTTCCACCTCTGTTGCAGCATAAGACATTGTTACATGACAGAAGGAGAGATGTCACTGTTCCCCCTAACATCTGACACAAGCCAACACTGGCAAATCTGATTTTGGTTGTGACATAGGAAGGAGTATCGTGGTCAGGGGAAGAACTCTTGAAAATACACTGAATGGGCAAGGTGACACTGTCTGACAAATCTGAATGGGCAAGGTGACAGTGTCCCGTTAACGGAAAATCTTTAAAAAACCCTCACATTTTCTTAATAAGAAAATATTAATGGGCCACAACAACTATCTGCCATTGTCCCACTGCTTTAAACTGGAAGCTAAAATCGTGCGTCTATGTATTGCCCCAGGGACGTGTGTTCAGGGGAGGCAGGTAAGGCAGAGCCTCACCTAATATTATGCAGGAAAAAGCTGTCAGCTTCAAGTCTGAAGATGACAGCTTTTTCTCTATTCAGAGTGGCTTGTTACTGGTTTCACAGCAGTGAGAGCCTCCCCGCTGTGTAACCTGTTAATTACAGGCAGCGCTGCATCCGACTTTTTAAACAGGTAGTTAGGTTACACAGCAGCAGGCTTCCCCACTGCTTGGTGACTTGGTGAGGCAAGAGCTGTCACAGCCTCTACTCTGTGTTAGAGGCATGAGCTCTGTGAATGGCTTGAACCAATAGCAAAGTGCCATTGGTCCTAGCTGTCCAATTAAAAAAACCCAGAAAAAACAGTGAGGACATTGATCTCTCCTCCCTGTCTCCTCCCTTCCTCCTCCCGACACAGCTTGGTTACCGAGCTGGGGGCGGGGATTCTGTAGGATGGGGCGGAGATAAGGCGGGCTGGGGGATGCCTCACCCAGCACAGAAGGCACGTCACATCACTGGATTGCGCCAGAACACCATGACTACCCTCTGCCATAGTAGCGCAAAATGAATCCACCACTCCAAAATCAGTGCACCAGCAGCGCCGCAATCAAATGGGAGATCTGGTTGTTTGCAATTAGTCTCACAACTGTATGGGGAGGTGTGAATTTTGTATATAAACCTGACGAATATGGAGTAGTTACACCTCTATTATTAACAAAGTAAAAACAGTGAAGCGCCACGGACTGTCAGTTCTTAATAGGACTTGCTTTTAGGCATACTGCAGGATGCTGCCCCAAAGAAGCCGGGAAAGCTGGAAATCTAGGAAATAAGCACAAAGAGGGGCGCCTTTCCTGGTGCAGATCACTTTTATTTCAATAAACATAAATAGAAAACCGAATCATACTCACAAACATGAGTGTCACAAAGTCATGAGGTGAGGACTGACAAGCAGTGAGATGTCCACTAGGTGATACCAGTATAGTGGTTAAAGTGCCATTGGTCCTAGCTGTCCAATTAAAAAAACCCAGAAAAAACAGTGAGGACATTGATCTCTCCTCCCTGTCTCCTCCCTTCCTCCTCCCGACACAGCTTGGTTACCGAGCTGGGGGCGGGGATTCTGTAGGATGGGGCGGAGATAAGGCGGGCTGGGGGATGCCTCACCCAGCACAGAAGGCACGTCACATCACTGGATTGCGCCAGAACACCATGACTACCCTCTGCCATAGTAGCGCAAAATGAATCCACCACTCCAAAATCAGTGCACCAGCAGCGCCGCAATCAAATGGGAGATCTGGTTGTTTGCAATTAGTCTCACAACTGTATGGGGAGGTGTGAATTTTGTATATAAACCTGACGAATATGGAGTAGTTACACCTCTATTATTAACAAAGTAAAAACAGTGAAGCGCCACGGACTGTCAGTTCTTAATAGGACTTGCTTTTAGGCATACTGCAGGATGCTGCCCCAAAGAAGCCGGGAAAGCTGGAAATCTAGGAAATAAGCACAAAGAGGGGCGCCTTTCCTGGTGCAGATCACTTTTATTTCAATAAACATAAATAGAAAACCGAATCATACTCACAAACATGAGTGTCACAAAGTCATGAGGTGAGGACTGACAAGCAGTGAGATGTCCACTAGGTGATACCAGTATAGTGGTGACGTTAACGCGTTTCCGGGGCACGCCCCCTTCATCAGATGAATCTATTATTAAGCGATTCACAGTGTGATATGTGTTAATGATAAAATTTGTTCATCTATTAAGACAGGAGTGGAGTGCGGCTGTTTTTGGAGATACCCTCTGCCATAGATTATAAAAGGAAAGTATAGTGAATTTTCGGTGAGCATACATTTTGTGTTATTACTGCAATGTTTTAAAGTGAACCTTTGGTGGAATCAAAAAAGAAGTAGATTAGATATAATCTACACTTGGAACGCCCAGGTGTGAACCCAGCCTAACTTCTTCTTGGATAAAAAAAACTCAGCAGACACTGTATGCAAACGGTCAAGCTAAAGGTCCACAAATACTTTCATCTGACAGTACAAATCGGACATTCTAGGCAAGTCCAGATCTTCTGGAACCTCAGTGCCCTCTCCTGTATTAACTCCCAGCTAAATATATTCAGCAGCATGCAAGTTGTCTGGCATTGTTTTTCTTGTCTTATCCTTCTAAGAAGTACTGCTTGTTACATACATTGTATGCTGACATGAGGTGAGCCAGGATTACAGAAAATGTTTATCAAATACTCAGGGGCGCCCCGAGGACAGATGACACCCCACCGTGACGTCAACGCACACGTGCGCAGCCATCTTGGTGATACCTGTCGGTGGCCATCTTGATGATGGATGCTGGCCTGGTCCCCTCCTCTCTCGTGCAACTGTCGGTCTCTCGGTACATGACCACATGCCCGACTTTACAGAGGGGGTGACTGTCAGTCATTTTTGGTGTCACCCCTCCAATGGTGTCACCTGGGATGTGGGCCACAACCCCCACACCCCTCTTAGTGATGCCACTGGCAGTGTCCTGGCAGTGGCTAGCGAGGGTTGGGCAGAGGGGGGCACGTACTCCCGGGCACGGAGTTTAACAGCGTTCTGAAGGCTACAGAGAAGGGCATGAAAGGGATGCCGGGGATGTCCTGTTTGATAAAACATTGGTGACGGCTGGAACAGGATATCCCCGGCATCCCTTCAGACGTACTGTGTTTCTGCCTGGCCCTGAATCATCTGTACATGTCTCAGTGCAGGCCCTGCAGGAGACAGGGTGGTCCTTCCAGTGATCAGGATCAGAAGGCTGCACGGAGACAGGGCGGGCAATCAGGTGGGGGGGGCAGTAAAGTTAAAGTGACAGTAAAAAAAAATGTTTTCCTCCCCCCCAATGTTAATTAAAGCACTTACCTTAAATGATGACTCCTAATCTGATCTTCTTGTTCTTTCCTGTCCTTTTTATCTGTCCCTCCAGCGGTGCGGCGGGTCTCTGTCAAGTGTTGACTCCTCTGAGCTTGCTGTTACTTACTGTCCCACGGTGTCTGCATGCGGGTGCACGCGTCCATAGACTTACCTTGCATCTCTCCTCGTCTCCCCGGCCAAAAATGAGACTCCGCGCTGCCCACCTGAGACTCCGCACAGCCCACCTAAAACTTCGCACCACCCACCAGAGACCCCACCGGGCCACCATAGACTCCACACAGCCTACCTGAGACGCCACACAACCCACCTGAGACTCCGCACAGCCCACCAGAGACCCCACCAGGCCACCTGAGACTCCCACAGCCCACCTAAGACTCCGCACAGCCCACCTGAGACTCCACACAGCCCACCCGAGACCCCACCAGACCACCCGAGACCCCTGTACAGCCCACCTGAAACTCCGCACAGCCCACCTGAGACAACGCACAGCCCACCTAAAATTTCGCACAGCCCACCTGAGACCCCACCAGGCCACCAGAGGCTCCACACAGCCTACCTGAGACACCACACAGCCCACCTGAGACTCCACACAGCCCACCTAAAACTTCGCACAGCCCACCAGAGACCCCACCAGGCCACCTGAGACTTTGCACAACCCACCTAAAACTTTGCACAACCCACCTAAAACTTCGCACAGCCCAGCTAAAACTTCGCACAGCCCAGCAGAGACCCCACCAGGCCACCAGAGACTCCACACAGCACGCCTGAGACTCCGCACAGCCCACCTAAAACTTTGCACAGCCCACCAGAAACCCCACCAGGCCACCTGAGACCCCTACAGCCCACCTGTTTTATCTCTTTAAAGGCCCTTCCACTGCATGTCTCATTTTGTCTGGTCTGAAATGCACTGGAATGCATAGAAAAGCATCAGAATCGCATGGAACACACTGGAACGCACCTGAAAGCCCAGTTTAAGCAGGGAAAAAAGCAAAAACAGCTCCAGAACGCAGTAAAAACGCAGCAAAAACGGGATGCACTGCGTTCCAGATCTGGTCTGGAAAATTGTGTAAACCTGGAATTAATCCTGTGGCAGCAATTAGTCTTGAGTTCTACACAGCCATGATCTTGTCCAGTTGATGAGCGGTTCAATTCAATTAGTCTTTCTTACCACTACATATACCATTTTAGCAATAATTACTCAGCATGTAGAATAAAACACAGAATCTACAGAAAAAGTCTATATCATTCACATATGTCTAAGACAGCACAATATATTGTACCACTGCTCTGTTTATAGCAGTATAAATGCTAAACATATTACCTGAAAAGTAGGATAAGGAAGCAGGTACTCAGATACAATCCAATAGTGAAAATGTACGCCAGCTGCATATTATAAGGAGCAAGATTTGCTTCTTTCCTGATGGTGGCATTTGTGTAAAACCCATAATACAAGACTGTTTTTTCAAAATAGCCCTAAAAATGTAAACAAAATAGCGCAGATCAAACCTAAGATTATCTTCCATTTCTCCTTTAAATTATCTGAGGACACAATTGCAGTATCTATATATCATAAAATGGTAAAATGTCCCTTTTCTGCTGGTTGTACCATGACTATATGTAACATCCAACTGCACTGTGACAATTATGTTCTTTTTCTTCTGATTAAAGGAGAACTATGGGGTTAGGGCTTTTCCCCATAGTTCTCCTAAGGGTAACGGGAGGACACAAACTAGCGTCCTCCCGTCACCCTAGGCTCAGTATACCGCGAGCTACAGCTCACGGTATACTGAGACGCCACAGCTAAAAACGGATCCCGACAATTATGTCTGGACCCGCCCAGATGTGTGAGTGACAGCTGGCTCTGCCTATCTAGAGGCGGAGCCAGCTGTACATGCCCCCTCCCTGTCCATTCCGCCAGTCAGCGCTGGAGGATCGGAGCGGGGAGGGGGGAATGTGTTCGCCGGTATGTGTTCGCTCACTTCCTGATCTACTGAGCCGACCTGTGACAGTTTCAATGTCACAGGTCGGCTAGAACTATGAGGATGAGTGAAACTCCCTCACCTCATAGTTCTCCTTTAAGGAAAGAAGCAGAGACATAATGGTGGCAATGATGGTGGGTCCCTATATTGGTGTGAAATGCATCTGCTCCTGCCGATCAAGCCATGCAGCGAGGCCATGACTTCTGATCATCACCTTATCTTTCCAGACTGTAACAAGTAGTTCCTAGCTCCTGCTCTGTAATCCTGAAAAAAACGATCAAACAGTCTATATTTCCCCTGCTAGGTTCTCCCCAGTTTTAAGTTAAAGCAGAACTGTGGGGGACATTTTATTAACCCTTGCAGTGGGGCTATACTCACATGATCTTGAAATTGATGGCAGTTATACATCTCAAATAAGTTGGGACAGGGCCTCTTCTTTTAACAACACTCTGTAAATGAGAACTGAGGCGCCCAGTTGCTGGAGTTTTGGGAGAGGAATGTTGTCCCATTCTTGCCTGATCTAGGATTCTAATGCCTGAACAGTCCTGGGTCTTCTTTGTCATATTTTTCATTTCAAGATGCTCCAAATATTTTCAAATGGTGAAAGGTCTGGACTGCAGGCAGGCTACTTAAGCACCTGTAATCTTCTACTATGAACCCATGCTGTTGTCATAGATGCAGTATGTGGTTTAGCATTGTCCTGCTGAAGTATGCAAGGCCTTCCCTGAAAAAGACATTGTCTGGATGGGAGCATATGCTGCTCTAAAACCTGGATATGTCTTTCAGCAGTGATGGTGCCTTTCAAGATGTACAAGCTGCCCATTCCATATGCACTAATGGACCACCATACCATCGGAGATGCAGGTTTTTGAACTGAATGAGAAAGTGCCTCTCCTCTTTATTCCGGAGGATGTGGCGCCCATGGTTGCCAAAAAGAATGTCAAACATCGATTCGTATGACCACAGAACAGTTTTCCACTTTACGACAGACTATTTTAAATGAGCTTTGGCCCAGTGAAGAAGAAAACGTTTTTGGATCACGTTCAGATATGGCTTCTTCTTTGCATGATAGAGCTTTAACTTGCATTTTTGGATGGCACCGTGACACTTTGTTCACAGACAGTGATTTTTGGAAGTCTTCCTGAGCCCATGCAGTGATGTCGTTTAACAGAATCATGCCAGTTTTTAATGCAGTGCCGTCTGAGGGCCCGAAGATCACAAACATCCAATACTGCGTTTCGGCATTGCCCCTTGCACACAGAGATTTCTCCAGATTCTTGGAATCTTTTGATGATATTATGTACTGTAGATGATTATATATTTAAAGTCTTTGCAATTTTACATTGAGGAACATTATTCTGAAATTGTTCGACAATTATTAGATGCAGCCTTTCACAGATTGGTGAACCTATGCCCATCTTTACTTCTGAAATAACCCTGACTCTCGAAGATGCTCTTTTTATACCCAATCATGTTACTCACCTGTTGCCAAGTAACCTAATTCATTGCTTAATGTTCTTCCAGTTCTTCCTTGTTAGTACCACTTACTTTGCCATTTTTTTGTTGCCATATCCTAGCTTTTTTGAGACATGTTGCTGCCATCAATTTCAAAATTACCCTATTTTTTTTCTTCAAATAGTACAATTTCTCAGTTTAAACATTTTATGTTTTCTATTGTGAATAAAATATGGGTTGATGAGATTTGCAAATCATTGCATTCTGTTTTTATGTAGATTTTACCCAGCGTCCCACCTTTTTTGGAATCGGGGTTATAAAACACATAACACACATAAAGAGGGGCTTTCTCAAATTTGACAGCAAACGTGGATATACACTTTAGGGTTGGGACATGTCACCACTGGAGTTTGCAAAAGATATATAAAACCAGCATGTGATTCCATTTGTCACCTAATGCCAGGACAGCAGGACTGCAAAAAGCTTTCTATAAATCATGTTGCTGGCTGTCGGTAACACATTCTTGCTTATAATAAAAGATTCTGGACTGCTGTCCTACCTGCCAGAGTAATCTCACTGCATTCCCATTGCTGCTACCCTGTACAGTTAGACCATTTTATACTGTGTACCTATAGTCCATCCTCTCTAGGGACCCACTCGAGTAGGCTACAGTTTCCCCTTCACTTCTAGACATTGGTCCTTGGTACACTATCGCCAGAATAGGCAAACAGTCTATTCTATGTTTAATCTTAAAGAAATTACCAGATGTTTAATACTTTTATGCACAATTTATATCACACCCCAGAACAAAAACATAAAGTCATCCAAAACAAGCACAGACCAGGAAACAGAATTCAAAAGAACATATCCTTTCAGGGTTACATAAAGAAAAAGGAAGACATATCAAACAAACTTTGAATAATAAAAATTACTATGAAAGGCCTCTTAGTACTTACGGCTCCTGTAAGAAGTTCCAGACCAGAAAATGATAGGTTGTTGGGTGGCATGTCAACAAACTGAGGAATAGTTATAAAACTGAAATTCACCACAAATGAAAAGATGTTGAACAGCAGGAGCCACTTGAGGAAAACAAAGTAAGACAGAATGCTTGACCCAAAAGTTCCTTCTATGACTTTCAGGGTACTATGCCAAAGTTGTAATATCTCAAAGGCATCTGAAGCAGCTTCCCTGAACCTCCTAAAGGACTGATTGAAGAAACATAAGACAAATAGATTAGCTAAAGTGGTACAATAGAAAATTAATAATCACACAATATAAAATGTTGCTTTTTTAAAGTAAATAATATAGACCAACTCGCTAAAATCTTATATAACACTTTACATTTTAATGTCATTTTAAAAATGTGAATATGAAGCTTTCAGCAAAAGACTACATTGTGATCTTGCCATGAAGTTAGTCCAGAGCAATGATGTGTTGCCGAAACTGCAGCATGGGCATGTAGACAGGAAGTGGCTAAAAAGGCCAACGGAAATTAGGAGCAGTTGTGACAGCAAAAGGGTGAAACTGTATTTTATGATAAAAATTGTCAGTTGCTTATGGTACACAGGGCTTAAGCAAACTAAATCCCGTGTCACAGTTCCTTGTACATTGATCCGGCGCTGGGTTTTGCTCCTGTCCAAGCTGCTCGGTTTCCTGTCAATCCGCCCTGAACCTAGGTGTTAAAAGACTTGTGCACCTGTGCTTTAGCGATCGAGCAATGTGTCTCCACACTGGTAGCCGGACCTCTCTGTTTCCTGTGGCATTGCTGTTTCTTAAGTATACCTTGTATTTTGTATCTTTGCTTCCTTGTTGTTTTCAATGTTCCCTTCCTGCCGTGCTCTTGCATTCCTTCTGTTTTCTGTCAGTGTACCTCTTTAGTTTGCTGTGGTTGTGAGTTCCCTCCACAGCATTGCTTCCTGCTCTGTTTGTGGTATCCTCCTGCTCCTGCTTCCTGAAGTTTGTGCTCTGCACTATTGTGCACCTCTCTCCTTTCTCTTGTGCGTTCCCCTATGCTGTTCCTGTGTATCTCTTGTCTCTGTTGGTACACCTGTTATGTGTTTCCTTCTGTTACCTGCTCCCTGTGTCACGCATGTTCCCTACGTCTTCCTTCTAATGCCTGTTTTCTGTACCTTGTATCCTCTATGCACCCAGTGTCTTGTCCAGTGTGCTGTGGTCCCTGAGTATCCGCTGGCACTGTGCCTGCACGTGTGTGTCAAAGAGCCGCAACCTGGGAGCTGCCCTGCAGCTCAACATCCACACCATCAGTGGCTCTGGTGAAGACCAGGCGGCTCCTTAGATCCCGCGACTCTGGCACACCTGCGTTTGTTGTGCGGTCACACTGTCCCTACATCTTCAGAGACCTGTATCCCTGCACATTCCTAATTCAGTCACAATATACTGCTCCTCAAGACCCGGAGCTTACAATTCCTGGTGCTCCAGTGCCCTAATCGTGACATGACGGCTATGTAAAGTGACATAAAAGGTAAAAAACAAAACACTTTGAGTAGATAGGCTTTTTTATTGCATATTAGTTTTGTTATTTTTTTCATATGATCTATTTGCACAACGTTTTTGGCTTGATGTTATGATATTTTAAACAAAGTACAAAAACTACTTAAGTGTTTTGAAGTGTTCTCCTCTGAAGCTTTTCTTTGTACAGTATGTGGCCAATAAAAAAAAACATATTTCAGCACCATGTCTAAAGCTGGCCATAAACTGGTAGATTTGCAAAAAATCCCATCAGAACATTCGATAATGCCATCAGAGACTTGTAGAATTTTGTTCAAAATTTCATTTGATTTTAATATTCAATTCTGGAATTAATGAAATGTCTTTTGAAAGAAAACCACGTTCACTGTTAGAATCTCATTTGTTTGAAAAAAAAAAAAAATCCATCTTGCTCATTATAAGTGCACATTATCACACAAGAAGAAGCGGGTCCCATCTTACAGTTGACGAAAAGCAAAGGAGAAAAATATCAAGCATATGTCAACATTAGTTATGAACTGCAGTGGGTACTCACAGTCCAATGATTTTCTTGAGGACAGACAGATTTTTTTACCATCAGTTACACAGCAATATACCTACAGTCACCCTTTTTTACACATGTGCGCACCCCTCTATTTGCTCTAATAGAAAAAGGCATTATTTTTCAAGTTATGTACTGTATGTCAGTAATTAATTGTAAGGACAATATATGGTGCTTTTTAAATGAAGGATAAGAATGATTAAGACAGTAACACACAGGGTACTTACCAATTTAATACTTTTAAGATATCCAGTACAGCAGTTCATTTTGGAAGTATCTTTTAAAGATTTCTGTTTTATTTTCATGACTTGGTTCCTGCAGAGATGGAATTTAGGGTTATAATCATGAGATTTACATCCTTTTCCATTACTGTATCATATTTTCTAAATGAATACATTTGTTCAGCTTCCAATTTTGCATCCTGTGAGTGCTGGTGATTCCTTTCATCCATATTGTCAAAACATATGGCGCTATCCATGTCATCACTTTGAGCACCGCTATTCGGAAAGATCTACATCGCCGTATGGAGTGTAGGTGACACACCAGAGCACTTAGTGTAACCATCACAGCTTGTCTTAGGAGTCAAGAGGAGAACCAGATAAAAAGTTAGTTCATTTTAATGTAGTCGTTCTTCTTTATTTCCAGGGAAATGTCAACAGCAAATAAGCCTCAACCACGCCAGAACCTCAGCCAAAAATTACACTGACCTTAAATGTTTTAACTATTACATCTAATGCAACTGTTACCTCAGGTCACGTTTTTCATTCAGACAGGTTGGAAATTTCTGGATTTCCTTAGCTATTTCACTGTTAGACTGTTCCACAAGATTTGCAATTAGCTTTTCTTTTTCTGATTGATAAAGAACAGAAGCATATTAACAGTAAAATAAGAACAAGTGTTTAACTGTTAACAGTCTACATAAACAATAATAAAAATTAAAAAAAACAATCTTGGGGTCCCCTCCCCAATTCATACCAGACCCTTTAGTTCTGGTGAAAATGTTTGTGGGGTCCCCCTAAAATTCCTTACTAGACCCTTGATCCGAGCAGCAGCCTGGCAGAGAAGGAAAGGGGGGGAAGACCAAGCGCCCCCTCCCTGCATCATACCAGGCCACATGCCCTTGTGAGGGTACTTTTCCGGGGGGACCCCCTGGATAAGCACCTTGTCCCTATAACTATGAGGACAAGGGCCTCTTCCACACAACCCTGGGCCGGCAGTTGTGGGGGCCTGCAGGCAGGGAGGCTTATAGGTATCTGGATGCTATTGCAATTTAAAATAGCCAATAGCAGAAGGGCTGCCTCCCACTGCCTGCTGTCATTCCACAGAGGAGCGGACCTGAGAGAGAAAGTTTTCTCTCAGGTCCGCTCCTCTGCTAATTGACATCAGCCAGTGGGCGGAGCCTATTGCAATTTAAAAAAGCCAATAGCAGAATGGCTATTGCTCCCACAGAGGCACGGACCGGAGAAAGAAAGATCTTTTCTCAAGTCCACTCCTCTGTGATTGATATCAGGCAGTTAATGGGTGCATTAGCCAGCCTACTTTTGGCTATTTCAATTTGACATGTAAACTTTGGTAAGTGAGCGGTGGGTGTTTCTTTATTCGGCGGGCGATGGGATTCCGAGATTGGGACAATTTACATTGCTGGACGATGTAAATGACACTGGATTGACATGGTGGGACATTTTTCTTTTTAAATAAAGGAATTGTCAAAAACTTGTGTTGTGTTTTTATAAAAAAAATAAAGCACTTTTTTTTACAGTGTGGTATGTTTATTTACTATTTTACTGTATTTGGTGAATGCGTAGGGGTAACAACTACCCCTTAGTCATTTAAGAAGGGGGGGTGGTATCTGGGTACCGGGCCAGGATTGTGGGGAAGAGGCCCTTGTCCTCATAAGTATGGGGACAAGGTGACTTTCCAGGGAGCCCCCCGGCAAAGCACCCTCCCAATGCAGAGGACATGTGGCCTGGTCTGTGTTGGGAGGGTGTGGGGGGGGGGCTCGCTTATCCCCTACCTTTTCTGCACTGCCGGGCTACTGCTCACATCAAGGGTCTGGTAAGGGATTTTAGGGGGCACACCACACTTTTTTGCAAATGTTTTTGGCGTTGGGATCGCCCCTAAAATTCCTACCAGACCTAAAGGGAACCGCACACTGTCCCTTTTTTTATTGCTTCTGTGGACTGTAAAAAGTTAAAAATAAACAAAGTAAACATTTAGAGGGTTATTCACAAAAGGGTGAAGAGTTTGGAGAAGGCAGGAGAAGTCAACAATCTAGGACAACATAGCTGAACTGAAAAGTGAGCTGAATTGGAGAACTTTTCCAAAATAGCTATTTTGGCCAAGATTGTTCACTTCTCCTGCCTTCTCCAAACTCTTCACCATTTTGAGAAAAATCGTGTAAATAATCAAAACATCCAAAATGAAACAAATAAAAACAATTTTTTGCTGTGCACATGTCCAGCCCACCCCATGAGGCCATGTATACGGATCCAGTTCTATACAGTTGAATTGCTCTCTGTGGCAGATTTGCAATGACAGGCACATTTTATAGCCAAACAAACCACAGCCACAAGCATTTGAGGAACTTCATAATCCAATGCATGTGTCCTTTTTGCTAATACCGGTAACAAAAAATCATCTTTCATTTTCTAACCTGCACTAATATATAGCACATTGATTCTGATTAGTTACTACAGGAAACACATGTCCTTTCTTCTTTTTGATTATTATAAATACATTGTGTAGTGGGAACATTTGGCTCTTTTCAGAATAGCCCATAGTCCAAGATTTTCAGATTGTAAGCCCTCACGGGCAGGGCCCTCCTTACTATCTTGTCTTGAATTGTATTGTGATTGTAATTTCTTCCTTATATTGTAGAGCGCTGCACAAACTGTTGGTGCTGCATAAATCCGGTATAATAATAATAATTCTGGATAACATCAACTGAATCTGTACTTACTACATAGACACTGGTCTACAATGCCCCCTAACCTGTCTTTCCTGGAAAATGACATCTTGAACCCAGCTTATTTATATGGGCATTGGGTGACTACATTTCTTTCTATTGTTTTATTAATAGGTCCTATTGTGATTTAATGCAGGAAATGCATACATCCCCCATCCTAACATAACATTCATAAAAAGCCTTATAAATAACCAAGTCACCACAGGTACAAGTTTTAGGACAGTGTTATGTCTTGGCAGGACAAAAAAGTTTACATTAACACATTCTTTCCTTTTTATGGCTCAGAAAATGAAAAAACAGGAAAGATCCAGCTGGATTAAACCTAACCTTATCACAGCACACTGGTAGGGCAATATATTCTAGGCATGTGACTTTGAAATCACTTATTGTTTTCCTCTCTACAGAGCTATCAGTTGAATTGATCAATATTTTTACATTATGTGACTTTGTGACCCTTGTGCTTTTTCCAGGGCTCCTTCGCATATGATGTTTTGATGAGGATTTTAGTTTGTATCATGTTATTTTCAAATATTAAAAAGGTTACAAAATTGCCAATTAGCAATATTCAGTATATCCTGTGAAATTAACAACTATAAAATATCTACAACCCTACTAATAAACAACTACATATGCATAAAGTGCTTAAAAGTGCTAGTTCTAAAATTAAAAGTATACTACTATGAATCATAAACAGTCTGTAAAAAATCTATGCTTCAATCTCAAAGAATCCCATATGTCTCAAATTATCTGTGGTTTGGAAGCTCAAGTGTGTTTTTAAAAACACCTCCAAACCATGCTCAGAATACCAACACCACAAGTCAGATGCACTCGCTGTATTGTTGGACTTTAAAATTATGGAAGTTCAGTAAGTGCTTGTTACTAGCCACTTTCATATAGGGACACATTCCATCAATGTTTCCACTTATCTCTGTCTCCTGAGTAGATTGACAAATTCTCAAGAGGATAATGTGACATAAAAAAGAAGTTTCCAATAGTGTAATACTGCTTTTCTTATTTAAAACAAAGTATCAACACTCACATTATTACGTGCTACATTAGCACTGGTATATAAGAGACAACCACTGCTGTTCAGGGGGCTGCAAGCTCAGTATAGTGCATCTCTCACACATGCGAGTTATATCAGTGCTAATGTAACACTTAAATAATAATGCGAGTGTTGATACTTTGTTTTAAATACTTTGTTTTGGATTGTTATAGTTTTAATTTAAAATCTAGCATTTCAACCACTTGAACCCAGTTTTGCAACTTTGGCATGGGTTGATAAAACTATATATATCTTTGAAACTACTTGGTTTATCCAGGTGATTTCTACCTTGTTTTGGTCAGGACTAATTAAGCCTTCATTTGATTGTTAATGGTTAGCTTCTGATTTTTTTTCTTCGTATTATTAAAGGAATACTGGCCCAAAATAGTACAAACAAAAAATATATATTTTTCTTAATTTCAGCTGTATATTTGCCTATCTACCTAAATACACTGAAACTAACATTAACACTGAGCTAGATCAGGCCCTGATCTATTTCATATTTATTTATTTAATTTTACACAGAATTTGGTTTTGGTTTACATTCTTTACAGAGGAGAAAGAGAGGGGAGGGTTCTGCAGCTAGCCAATAGCCAATCACTGGCTATCTTAGTGATTATGTGACTGGGAGCCAGGCCTTCCATCTCCCAATCATTAGTACAAGACTCAAAAATGTCAATGACAACTCACTTTTCATGCTGGGGATGCGTTATAGAGCACAAACACAGATAGGCATACATGCGAACCCGCAGAAAAAGGCCCAACTCTGTGAGGCCACATATGTGCATACACACAGGAATAGATTAAGGCTGTTGCCCTTAAATTAATCTGTTTTATTTCTAGTGCACATCAGATGCATCTGATTGCTATTGCTTGGTTGCTATGAGCAATGTTTATTTCCCATAAATTCCAATTTAAAGGAGAACTATGAGGTGAGTGAAAATCACTCATCCTCATAGTTCGAGCCGACATGTGACAATGAAACTGTCACGTGTCGGCTCAATAGATCGAGAAGTGAGCGAACACATACCGTCGATCATGTCCCTGCAGAGAGCCGTGACTGTCAGTGACTCCCTGCATGGATTCCCCCCTCCCCGCTCCGATTCTCCAGCGCTGACTGGAGGAACGGACGGGGGAGGGGGCGAGTACAGCTGGTTCTGCCTCCAGATAGGCAGAGCCAGCTGCCACTCACACCAGCTGGGTGGATCTCTACAGTAATGTCGGGATTCGTCCCGGCTGCAGCGGTCTCAGGATACCGCAAGCTGTAGCTTGCGAAATACTGATCTTTGTGTCACGGGAGGATGCTAGTTTATGTTCTCCCGTGACCCTAAAGAGAACTATGGAGAAAAACACTTACCCCATAGTTCTCTTTTAACACATACTAGTAAAGTGTGTGTCAGATTGGTTAAAATGAGGCAATATTTAAAAGCAATCACCATCATATTTGTTGGCAAATATTTATAAAACATAATTCACCAGGTGAAAATTCACATTGCTGAAGTGTATAGTATATCGTGTCCAAATTATCTCCAAACCCAATTCACCAGTTAAGGGGTTGACAGCTTCTTGCATTCCATTGGGGTATGAGAGTGACAACAAATCCATGCCAGTAGCATTGGGTCTGTTGCTTTAAGAATAATGAATCTCCAAATACACTCCGCTGTGCTGTAGGGTATGTGCTCTGGTACCCATATGACATCATAGTGTCCTGATTTGCTAATCTGTGGAAGAGGGGAGGGGCTGATTTTTAAAGCAAAAAAGTTGAACACATTAAGAAAAAATTGACCTTGTAAGTGCTGATTTTTTGTTAAAAACACATGTTCGGCAATAAAGAAATTTGATTTCTATAGGCAATGCTATGCCAGCCTTGCAAATGTACTGAAAATAAGCCTCTAGCAAATGTGCAGAGAATGTAGTATCTAGTCTGTTATAAATACAGTACTATGAATGTACCAGTAGCCACCGTTATTTTTCTTCATGGAGAAAAGGTGAATGTCTGAGAATTTTTTTGGGGGGGGAACTTAACTTGACCAAGATTGTATAGATGACAGCTGATGGAACCTGCATGTCAATAAGATTATTAGCAACTACGGAAGAATAACTCACCTTGTTTATTGCTATTCTCAATATGTCTTTCCAGAACAGGGTCAAGACTGGCAATGTTGGATGGGCGCATATACTGTGCTGCTAATGCAGTCTGCAGCTTTGAACGATTTCTTAGCCCTTAAATTGACAAAAGGATATTATGATTTATTTTCTGTTATAAAAAACATTATAGATTCTACATGTATATTCAACATCTATAATGATAATAGTATGGTTGAAACATTTCATTGTTGTGTCCCTGTATGCATTGTAAAGCAGTAAAATACATTAACCTGAGCAGTACCTGAAGGTGATCTTATGACCTCCACTACAGACACGTGACTTCCATGGTCAAAAATTGTCACTTCAACTGGCGAAAGTGTGTGTAAATTGGGTTGTGAGTCTGAAGACCCAGATTCAGCTTTCGGCTTCTCTTGCGTTTGAGAAATATAAATACATTTATCTTTCTTGCTCTGTAAAGCTGAGGTAGAATTGCTAATATTTGTCACACTTTTAGGCCTTTCATCTACGGTTTTAGGAATAAAAGACTCTTTTGATTTGTTAGGCTGATCAATAACTGATATGCCTGCATGAGCATCTTTGTCTATGGCGACCACCTGATGGTCATTCAGTGTAGGTGTATCACTGAAATGTACAGGGACTGAGGTCTCATACAGATCATTGGATAGAGTAATGCCAGGTCCTTCTGTCATTTCAATTACACAAATGTCGGCTGCCAAGGTATTAGTCTCCTGATGATCTATAGCTGTATTCTGTAATGGTGATATACTCCCTTAAGATGCTATGATTCTCTACAGGCCTAGTGGGATCGTAGGGCATCATTTATCAGTGTGCCTGAGGTAAAGATTTTCTTAGAAGTACCCAACCAATAACAGAGTCTGTTGTACTGGTCTGACTTAAGCATCGTGATTTCTGGTTGGTTGCTATACATGAACACTAATTAGTGCTGCAAGAAACCTATGGTTTCCCATAGCAACCCATCAGAATCCTTTATTCATGTTTAAACCTGTGCTGCAAAAAAGACAGCTGGAAGCTGACTAGTTGCCATGGATAACAAGAACACTTTCTTACAGCATATTTCCTCCATCTTGAGAAGGAGGAAAAACTGCAATTACCGGTCTCTCTATGGGGAATCGGATGTAAATGGACATGTGTCTGTTTACATCAGATTACCCCCCATCCAGCGTGATCTGGTCTGGCAAAACAGATTTCTGACCTGTTTGTTTTTGCAGACTTGGCCGGAGTCGGGGGTAACCGGGTGTAACCGGATGACCGTCCATTTACACCCGGCTGCCCATAGACTTACATTGGGCATCCGATTGGGTCCGCCTGAAAAACTGACAGGTGGACCCAATCGGGCTGCCTGTGTAAAAGTGCCCTTTTGAACTCACACTGGAATTTAGACATTGTTATTATATCATGAATGGCAAGTAGAATGCTATCAGATGGATCCATCACTGATGTACTATCATGGTGAACTACTGGCCAGATATTACCATCATAATTGGACTTTGTTAAAATAAAGCAATGATCTGCAAATGCAGATATAATGATTTGCCACCAAATTTTCCTGACATGTCTACGAGCAGGGGTTGGTAGCTCTGGCCCTTCAGCTTTTTTGCAACTAGAAATCCCATGAGGCATTGCAAGACTCACAGATACATCCAGGACTCCCAGAGGCAGGGGCATGTTGGGATTTGTAGTTAAAGCACAGCTGGAGGGCCGGAGTTGCCCACCCCTGTCTAAGAGCATAATAATTGCAGAGAGTAGAGGAATGTGATGCAATATCATCCAGTTTTTTTAGCTGCTTTTTGTCACCCTGTAGTGGGAAATAAACAGCCTTCTGACTGGTAGGAGTGATAAAGAATTCAGCTTATAGCAGCTGTAACCACCACATTCTGTATATCTTAATGTTCTATTATACTGTATGATAGATGAACATCAAGCTTGTTATGATCACCTCATATAGACAATTAACCAACATTTGAAAAGTATTTATCTTAAAACTGCTATATATAAACTTGAGATGATTGTTGCCTTATCCAAGTTGGGCAACAGCTCATATACATGGGCTTCAGTAAGCATTGCTGTTCAATACATTTTGGGAAATATAGCCGGTGTAGTTGTTACTAGACATGTGCGATTCGTTTCGTTCCGAATCGAAATGCAGACAAAATTTTGGAAATTCGGACATTCGGATGTATCCGAATTCCGAATTACAGTTATAACGAATGCAAACAAATCTGAATTTCCAATTCCAAAATTCCTTTGCGGTAGTCTGGACAACATTTTGTTGCAGCAAAATGACACTAGAAAAAAATAAAAATAAATTTTTAATCTGCAGAAGAGGAAAAAAAAAAAGCGTAGGGTTCCCCCCCAATTCATAACAGACCCTTTAGGTCTGGTAGGAATGTTAGGAGGGACCCTCCCCCAAGTTAAAACCAAAAAAAAAGTGAGCGGGGTTCCCCCCAAAATCCATACCAGGCCCTTTAGGTCTAGTAGGAATTTTAAAGGGGAACCCCAGCTCCAAAAAATGGGGAGGGAGAAACGTGCAGCCCCCCTAACAGTCCTACCAGACCCTTGATCCGAGCACTGGCCGGGCAGGGCAGGAAAGGGGGGGCGATCGAGCGCCCCCCTCCCTGTGCCTTACCAGGCCACGTGCCCTCGGCATTGGGAGGCCACAGGGCTGAGTGAGAAAAATCTTACTGTGTATGGCCAGCTTTAGTCCCCTCGATATGCATGATAATGATCTATTGTTTACATAATTAAAAAATCCATCATATTTAGAGGGTTATTCACAAAGCTGCCGAAGGCAGCCGTGTGAATAACCGACCCGAAGTGAAGTGAGCTATTCACTTCAGGCTTGTACACCGTACATTGGCTGAAATCAGCCATGCTTCGGCTGGCTTCGGGTCGGCCGAACATGCTCAGCCAAAGTGCAGAAGCGGTTCGACTGGATCGGCTGAGCCAAACCTCCGGCAAGCTACTCGCTGCTGTTTGGCCTTTTTTTAAATTCGGTTCTCCATCTGGTCCACCTCTTCTGATTGACAGCAGCAGTGGGTGGGTGCAGTAGCCAGCCTACTATTGGCTATTGTAATTTGAAATGGCCAATAGCAGCCTAGCTATTCATTCCTATGCTATTTGTTTTTTTTTCTTTACGCAGACGGCGGCCTGCGGCAGCTGTCATAATAATGGGGAAAAAAAACATAGCAGGGGAATCAGCAGATAAGAGGGAGATAATGCTTCCCCTGATATCTGATGCTTTTTAGTCTTTGTATTCAGACAGCAGCCACAAAAAAATAAAAATAAACAGGGAATCGTCCGATATCAGGGGGGAGACAGGCTAGGATTGGTCAGGGCATTTTTTAAAATTTTTAAATGGGGAGGAGGACCCCATGCTGTGTTTTTTTATTTGTTTACATATTGCGGAGAGAACAGTCTGCTTCGGCAGACTGTTCTCCCCGCTTCGGCTGTGTGTTAAACTCAGTCGAGCCGAAGCAGATGCGTTCGGCCCGGCTGAGCCATTCGGCTGCTGTAGGGGCTATTGTGAATAGCCCGTACAGTGGCCTTTCCGTTCCACTGAACTGAAGGGCTCCCGCAGTCGAAGCGAGCCGAAGGATTAGCCGAAGGTTCGGCTTAATACTTCGGCTCCTTAGTGAATAACCCTCTTAGACTTTTATGATCCTGAGTGATATTGGAAATTAGCTACAACCTCTCTTCTCTTTTGTAAATTAATACTCTAAACAGTTATCTTGTAAACAATTGTGAACACTGCTTGAATAACCCAACACTGATTTAACATAAGATGCCTAGACTCATACCTCCATCTGATACATCGATTGCATCATCTGTATCCTTGTCAATATCAATATAAGAAGGTCCCTGATCAGACTGAAATGAAGGGTTATCTATCAAAGAAAAATGTGTTAATAGTTACATTTTGTACTGGGCCAAAGCACATGACACCAATAATGAAATAAATATGTTCTAAAAGAATATAAATCAATCTAAACCTATTTATTATCTCCTTAAAATGATTAGTATTGTTACTATTATTATCTCTACGCATATCAGCTATATCTGATGAAGACATCTGGACATGATTTTTTTCAGTGTCAGCTTCTTGATGTGTTGAGATTGATTTAGTAAAGGCAATTAGGCTGTTCACTTTGCAAGGGAATTTGCACTTTTCAGGGGAAGTTTCCCCTTAGTTTAGTAAATGAGGGGAAGCTCTTCTGACTTCCATCACCAAATCGAGTGCAAGCAAAAATACAGTTTTTTTTTTACCTTGCATTTGATTGGATATTCATTGTAAAGTGAATTTTCACCACATCTACTAAACTAAGAGGAAAATTCCCCTGCAAAGCACAAATTCCCTTGGAAAGTGAACAGCCTTTTTGCCTTTAGTAAATCTCCCCCATTGCGTGCAGGAAAAAACATTTATTTAATTGGTTTCAGATCAGAAGTACTGTAAAATTTAGTTTAGGGATTATATTTGTGGTAAAGGTGGAGGTTAAGGGGTAATGCTAGGATTAGTCTGAGGGATAGGGTTAAAGTAAACCATAATCCAGGCAAATAATACAGCAGTGCTGAGGCAGAACAAATGACAGTGTCTGCAAAACTAACATAACTGTGCCTGCAGTTGGACACGGGATATCAGATGTAAATCTATTGCAGTTAAAGTACACAACAGAGGTGAAAACCAATTAACATTGTAATTTACAAACATCTACACTATATGATGACATGTTTTATTGACACCTGTCTATTACATCTATATGAGCTTGTTGGACATCCCATTCTAAAACCATGGGCATTAATATAACGTTGCAACCCCTCCCCCCTCCACTCCTGTGGTAAAGTCTCCACAAGTTTTTGGAATGTGTTTGTGGGAATTTGTGCCCATTCAGCCAAAAGAGTAAGATTTTCAACTTATACCAAAGGTGTTCAGTAGGGTTGAGGTTAGGACTTTGTTGGAGGCCACTCAAGCTTCTCCACACCAAACTTGCCAAACCATGTTTTTATGGACCTGGCTTTGTGCATAAGCACACAGTCTTTTTGGACCAGAAAGGGGCCTTATAATGTAAAGGGCCAGTATAATGGTTTGAAATATCTTTATATGCTAAAGCATTAACAGTTCCCTTCACTTGAAACACCTGAGCTCAATAGTTTGAAAGGTTTCCACCATCTGGTCTTATAGTGTATATTAGTTGTGGGTTTGTCCCTTTTAAATAATTTTTGTTGTCATACATGTGTTATTGTTTCATGCTCACACTTTCTGGGTCTTTACATTGACAATTATTCTGTGTATTTCATGTTGAGTGATCTACTTACAGTGCCCTAGGGCATGTGTATCCTCCTCCGATGTAGAATATCTGGGTATCTGCACATTGTAATCTGTATCCATCTGCTGAGCATTCCTTGGAAGAAATCCTTGATCTCCCCTCCAGTTTCTTTCTTTAGGAAAACTATTGTCATGATTATCAATGTCATCTTCATATGGGTAAGAAGAATTCTGTCTGGATGATAGTCTCGTTAAGGGTCTGGATGAAGGTTTTCCTTGAAGCCTACAGAAAATAGGCTGATTTTTAGTGTGGGGTAATGGAGCAGTACATTATATTCTTAGCAGTCTATAGCAAAATTAGGTGACTTATCCACATACACTTATGTATGTGACCCACAGAAACATGTAAGTCCTGTATTATCGCTGAGAACCACAAACCCATTATATCTTGCATTACAAAGTCTGCATACTTGGCTATATCTAAGATTTAAACCTATGTTGGTGCATGTTAGCCAAAAGATGTACAATAAGTAATTACAAGTTTCTGTGCACAGTTCCTTAAAATCTCTTAATCTACTCAGATATTTGATGTATTTGCTAAAAAAAAAAATGTACAACCAAATCTGTAAATCTGACCATTTGGCACTTGAACCCAAAGTCCCGAAGTATCAAATCTGATATGAATATTGTCATTCTCCTAGTGTATGCCTCTAGTCACAGTTCACCAATATATGCTAGGGCTACAATATTTAACTGATGGTAATAAGTTAGTTGTGTTAAATATCCACACCACATAATCACCCCAAATATAGGTGTATTATCTAACAACCTCTAAATAAAAAGTGGGAACTCCCATTGCTGGTAAATTAATACATACGCAAGATGGCATTTCCCAAGCTGGCTGATGCTTGTAAACAGGCTGCTAAAGGGATACTGCGAGATGTTATTGACCAAATATAGTCAAGCTTCTGCATCCTAACCTTACCTGGAGTCATCTGACAGATTGGCCAGAATCTCATAACTTGTAATTAGATAAGCAATTTTGTGGCAAGTATAAATAAAAACTTTAGTGCCGACGTACCCTCTGTCGATCTCAAGTGTCTCCGAATCATGGTATGCAGAGTTGTAAAACCCATCATTGTAGTTTGAAGCCATGGTAATTGTACTCTATTGTCTTGCGCTTAAGCCTTTACTTTTTTATATGTTTCTTTTGACATGCTATCCTGAAAATAAATATTAGGCAATTCTTAGACAATAGCAGACACAATTAATACAAGTAAACTATGGTGCCATTTTACTGGCTATTTATTTAGAAAGTTTTGGTCTATCCAAACCTAATTTGTATATGTTTAACTTTAGAAGAAAGCAAAGAGGAACAATTTGTGCTGCCATCGAAATACAATATATTCGAATGACAAAACCATTAGCTTTATTGCATGTAATCATAATATTTATCCTAGATACAAATATACAAATGTTCTACTCAAAACTTTTTTTTTTAGCCTGGATAGAGTGGTGCAGAGTGTCAGGTTGTTTTTGGCCATCTGTGTCCTCGCTGCTTAGATGCATCCTTACTACAATGATGATCATATTATACGCCCATCCTAATTGTGTGCATATGTACAACATAATACATTGTTCACTGGCCTGATTTATTAGCTCATTTGGATAACCTAGACCAGGGGCGCCCACAATTTTTCGTCTTGAGATCTACTTTTCAAAGGACGAGCTCAATGAGATCTACCAACGAAAAAACACCTGCATTCCACCTGAATTTTCACTACTTCTTGCAGCTTTCTTTTTCCTGTTTACTGTAAGCGAATTGGAAGACTTAAACACTTATGAGTGTTTTGTGATGGATCAAAGTAATTATTCCTCATAAAATATTTCTCAGGTCAACCTACATATAATAGACTACGCAGTCAATCTCTACAACAGAACCGGAGCTATCATCATTTAGGTATCATCTTAAATTTGAACTCCAGGCCAGTGGTGTATTTTAGTTTGGGGCTGCCATAGGCAAGGCAAAACTCGGGAGTAACCTGTCAGTCACTGGATACAGTGCACATGCTGTATCCAGCTTTTTACATGTTCCGCTATTAGCGTTGCAGGAAAGCTGTCGTCTCAGGGGGGCTGTGCAGGATCTGTGGTGGGCTCTGCAGGGTCTCAGGGGGGCTTTGCAGGATTTGTGATGTGCTCTGCGAGGTCTATGGTGGGAAGAGCCCACCACAGATCGTGCACAGCCCCCTGAGACCCTGCAGTCTGCAGGATCTCAGGGGGACTGTGCAGGATCTGTGGTGAGCTTTGTAGGCTGCAGAGCTCCCTACGGATCCTGCAAAGCCCACCACAGATCCTGCAAAGCCCCCCTTAGACCGGGCAAAGCCCCCCCCCACATCCTGCAGAGCCCCCACAGATCCTGAAGTCTGCTGGATCTCAGGGGGCTGTGCAAGATGTGTGGTGGGCTTTGCAGGCTGCAGAGCCTCCTACGGATCCTGCAAAGCCCCCCACAGATCCTGCAAAGCCCCCCACAGATCCTGCAGAGACCCCCTGAGACCCTGCAGAGACCCTGCATTCTGCAGGATCTCAGGGGGGCTGTGCAGGATCTGTGGTGGGCTTTGCAGGCTGCAGAGCCCCCTACAGATCCTGCAACACCCCCCACAGATCCTGCAGACACCCCATGACACTTTGCAGAGACCCCCTGTGACACTGCAGGATCTCAGGGGGGCTGTGCAGGATCTCTGGTGGGCTTTGCAGGCGGCAGAGCCCCCTACGGATCCTGAAAAGCCCCCCTGAGAGCTGGCAAAGCCCCCCACAGATCATGCAGAGACCCCCTGAGACCCTGCAGTCTGTTGGATCTCAGGGGGTCTGTGCAAGATCTGTGGTGGGCTTTGCAGGCTGCAGAGCCCCCTACGGATCTTGCAAAGGCTGTTCACTTTTTAAGGGAATTTTTTCTTAGTCTAGTAAATGTTGTGAAAATTGACTTTGCAAAGAATACCCAATCACGTACAAGTAAAATGTAAACAAAAACAGTATTTTTGCCTGCATATGTTTGGATGATGGAAGTCAGCAGAGCTTCAGCTCATTCATTACGCTAACGGAAAATTTACTTGCAAAGTGAACAACCTGTTTCCCTTTAGTAAATCAACCCCATTGCATCTTGGTACTTAAACAATTACAAACTAGCTAAGCAAATGTAATTGTAAATTAGGTAGGAAACATACTGTATATAGGGACACCTGTTCCAGTAACAACCTCTTAAATCCACACCACCAAAACAGGAGTTTTGGTGGTGTGGTGTGAGAAGCCCAAATTACAAAATGCCCTTCAAACCCTGCAATCTACCTTTCCATTCCAGCTGGGCTTTTCCTCCATTACTTCTATTAGCAAGGTATTACAACTGGTAAAGGTATATAGTTACTTGGTGACAGTAATCACGTTTAATGGTGACCAGGGCCGCCATAAGGGGGGTATGGCTGATACACATGTAAGGGGCCGGGGCAGCCTGTAAGGGCACTCGGGCACTGCCTGAGGGCCAGCGGTCAGGAGGGGGCGAACGGAGGTGAAGAACGGCAACATGCTAATGGTGAATGCTGAGCTGGAGGTGAAGAAGCTGAAGAAATTGATCAGGAAGCTGGAGAAGCAGAACGAGCAGCGCTGTCAGCAAGTGCAATGTCAGCCCGCACATGCTGCTGCTGCCTCCCCCTCCTGCACAGCATAAGCCAGGCACATGTCTGTCCCAGCCTGCCGCACTTTGCCTACCCAGGCTGTTGCCCACTCCGCTCTGTGGGAGCCCAGGCTACTTCAGCTGAGGCTCTGAGTATTTGTGAACTGCAGTTTATTTACACCAGGATAGACTATCAGATCTGAACCTAGACATAGGTATGGCAATTTCCATGTCCTCTTAAATGTTTATCTAGAAAATATTATCTCTTGTTGTAAAATAAATATTAGAATTCACAAAAGTGTTCAGTCAATGCCCAAGGTCACAGTCCAAATGTATTTATATCAACCCCTGAACTCCAGGAAAAATCTTTATTTTCTGCAGAGGGTGTGTTATTACGCATACATGAGTTGACAGACACTGAAGTTGATTTACTACAGGAGCAGAAAATGTTGTCTTGGCTTAGTGAATAAGGTGCAGCTATTTTCACTTTTAATAACCAGCCATGTGCAAGGGAATTTTAATAATGGGATATTTGCTTGCACATAATTGGATGATTGAAGTGAACATAGCTTCAGCTTATTCAATAGGACAAGTGAACATTTTCTGTGCAAATCGAGCATACATTTTCCAAGATGAACAATTATTTTGCTCAGCCTTTTTAGTAAATCAACCACATTGTGTTCATCAATGTCTATCAGTCTAGATTTTAAGTGTTATTAAGTGTTGGGGGGGGGCAGTGCCAGGGGGACAGAGGGTTGTATAATAAGGGTGCTGGCTGGCAGTTTTCTCATGCCTATAGTGCAGATGTGTGTGTGTGCATACTCTGCAATTATTGCTCCTGACCTCTGCATGCTGCCTTATTTGCTCCTAGTCTATGCACCCTGTCTTATTTGCTGCCTTATTTGTTCCTGACCTCTGCATGCTGCCTTATTTTCTTCTGACCTCTGCACAATGCCTTTTTTGCTCCTGGCCTCTGCGTGCTGCCTCATTTGCTTCAGATCTCTGCGTACTGCCTTACTTTCTCCTTACCTCTGCAATCTGCCTTATTTGTGCCTGACCTCTGCACTTTGCCTTTTTGCTCCTTACCTCTGCACGCTGCCTCATTTGCTCTTGCCCTCTGCATTCTGCCTTATTTGCTCCTGACCCCTGCACCCTGCCTTATTTGCTCCTGACCTCTGCACTCTGCCTTATTTGCTCCTGACCTCTGCACTCTGCCTTATTTGATCCTGATCTCTGCACTCTGCCGTATTTACTCCTTACCTCTGCACACTGCCTCATTTGCTCCTGGCCACTGCACTCTGTCTAATTTGCTCCTGACCTCTGCCTTATTTACTTTTGACCTCTGTACTCTGGTGACTATGGTACCTTTTATTTGCATAATTTGATATAGTTCAGAACCCACAACCCTGTCACCCAGTAAGGGGAAATGATTGCTATATTTAACTCTAGATAGTGAGTAAAGAGTTCTCTTCAGGCTCCCATGCATTACCTACACTTTGGCTATTGCGTGGGTAATCTTTCAGATGCAGGTTTCTAGGCCAGGATGAGCTATGGTGCTGGAGAAGGCTTTTGTGCATTCCATGGACAGCAAAGGTGACAAACAAGAAAGTACTGGAATGTACAAAAAACAGACATTTCACTGGATGCCAAGATTACAAAACTCAGGCTCACTTATTTTGCACATGTCATGCGATCCAATTTACTGGAGAAGGCAATTATGCTTGGATTTGTAAGCGGAAAAAGGAAGCCAGGCCGCCAAAGAGAACAATGGTCAGACACCATAAAAGCCAACTCCAGCCAGAACATGAAACAACTAAAACAAGCAGTACAACACTGAAAAAAGAAGAGAAAAGAGAAGAGAAGAGGTCCATAGAATTGCGGAGAGTCTGACACGACTGAATCGATAACACTAATACGGTGATTCAAGCATATAACATTGCTTCAGTCTCTGTAGTAAGACCTAGGGGTCTATTCACAAAGCTTCTTTTTTTGACTTTTTCACTCTTTTTCTGTTCTGCTCGGTCCCTCTGAGGGACAAATGCAATAAATTAGATGTATGAAAGCTATGGTGTAGAATAACATTTTTGTTAGTTATATTGTATAGTACATTATTTTATACGGGCCCAGGGATCACAACCTGAAAGAAGCAATTTCAGGGAGGTGCCCTTCTCATTTGCCATCTGGAGAGACCACCCCCCTGAAATGATGGCAGATAGCACAGGAAGCAATAGCTTCTTTGCTATCTGCAGTTTTTTTTTTTATATTCTGACAGCTGCTGCCGTCAGAATCAATAAAAACTAAAATAAAAACCCAGCATTGGAATGCATAGCTAGATTCCTATTGGCTATTTCAATTTGTAATATCCAATAGCAAGCTGGCTATTGCACCCACCCTCTGCTGCTGTCAAACACTAGAAGATGACCTGATGGGGAACTTCAGGTCCTCCTCTGCTGATTGACAGCAGCAGTAGGCAGGTGCAAAAATACATATA